CGTGCGTGCGTGCGTGCGTGCGTGCGTGCGTGCGTGCGTGCGTGCGTACGTGCGTGCGTACGTGCGTGCGTGCGTGCGTGCCATAGTTGAATAATTTTTACAAAGCGAAAACTTTAATGCTTTGTAACTTTTGAACGGATCCACGTGACCGCTACGTTTTTCAAGGTCAAGGTTACTCAGGGTCATGCCTTTGACAACATATGTCAAGGTCAAGGTCATTGGCAATTGGGGTCTTTTTGTACATAATTATCCACTTTCCTAACATTAATGAAATAAAACATTTCAGCAAAATATTTTTGAATTTTAATTATTTTTTATATCGAAATTTTGAATAACTTTATAATCCAGCCAAATAATTAAAATTTGAATATCTCAGAAACTAGACATTTCCGTAACTTCGCACTGGTGGCTCTGACTACATTTAGTATACATATAAGTACTACGTACCTGTAAAATTTTATCAGACTTGAATGACTTACTACAATTAAACTAAAGGCACCTATTTATTTACAGTGATTATAACACCGGCAAAACAAAAATTCGATAAAAAACGCATTGAATTCATATTATAAAACACAAATTATAGCATTCAGCATGGTTCATTTTGTTTGTTGATAACTTTTTAATAAACAATTTGAATATATACATAATACATATATTTAAATAAATGCTTGGATAGAGAAAGGACGGAGCCCAACTTCTCTTCATTATCACCCAAAAAAGTATTTTAACTTAAGGGGATTCTAAACTGACCCAAATTACCGACAATTGCAGGGAGAGCTCCAACTTTGAGTAGACTGCACAAAACTTAAAAAAATTTGTATACAATTGAAATATGCACGAAAACACATCGCGCGAGTGTTGATTTGAAGACAAAAATCGGAAAAAATTAAAAGTTGTACAGTTTGTATGTACAAAGTAAGATACACGCGCCATTCGTATAATGTGAACAAAGAATACCGTACATGAAAAACTAAAATTAAAAATGTAACAAAAAAGTTTAAGCTTTTGCTACTATTTTGTGCAAAAGCACATGCAGGTTGATAGGATAAGCAGTATTGCGTGTAGCAAGAGATGGTGCAGCGATTGAACAAGGATTGATTACTATAGTTAAACAAGGACAGATATAAAGAAAACAGGATTAGAAATATTGACATTATTGACATCGAAGAAGTTCGGCCTTCGCTATAGGAACCCCTTAACTCAAACCTAATTTTATTTATAAATTGAAAACAGGTTTAATAAAAATAAGTGATGGCTAAAATCTTTTACAAGTTAATCAGATCATCTTTTACAACATATGTTAAGGTCATTGAAATCGGTGAGATCACTAAATATGCAGACCACTAATATGCAGTTTTACTAAAAAAAAAAAAGAAAAAACAGTTAACCAAAATTTGGTAAAACAGTTTTACTAAAATTTTGTTTACATTATTTAAATTAAACTTAAAAATGGACTTCTTTTCCTCTACGATTTAGAAGATTAAAATTTTAATTTTTAGAAATTATATATTTGTCGCTTGTGATATTAATTCTCTCGAATCATTATGCTACAGACTGTGGATCAAATATTAGTAGTTTAAATTACGGTATAATAACCAGTCCGAATTTCCCGAACAAATATGATGGTCCGGCAAAAAATTTAACTACCAAAACTTGCAACTGGTTCATAAGGGTTCGGCCGAATCAACGGATACTTTTAAACTTTGAGCTCTTCTCTGTAGAAGGTCATCAATTAGGTAATATATGGATTTATTACAAATTAGTTATATGTATATTGTATATATATATATATATATATATATATATATACACAATATACATATAACTATTTATATATATATATATATAATTCTTAATTAATTATACTATAGAAGAAAGAATGGTAATATGGAACCTCATTTTGTTTTTTAACGAATTCTTATGAGTTATGTATAAGCTCAATTTTTTCATTCCTGGTATACTTGTAACGATGCATCCCCAAATATGCATCGTTCCGGCAAGAACAGCACGCCGAAACCACCCCGCCGACCACCCGCGGGGTGAGGAACGGGCACGATGTGCCCAGCATATTTTTTTAATCATATCATACGTTAGGAAGTCCGCGAACGGACTTAAACGCGGCAACCGTTCCACCGCGCCGGGCGGCGCCGAAGACGGCCGAAGACCGCCGAACGCGATCACGGCGTCGGGGCGCCGCGATCCCCGATCGTTCCGCCGCACCGGCCCGGCGCTCGCAATCGCCGTCGCTACCCCCACCACACCGCGACGCCGCCGCGACGCCGCCGCGACGCGTATAAAAGCCCGGCGTCGCTGGCACAGAGCGCGATTCCCGATCATCCGTCTTCCAGACAACACCGATCCTGAATTCCCGCACGAAAGCTAATCCGAACGAAAGGTAGAGCGCCTCTGGCATTCTCTGTCTTCGCCGAGTGTGTCTCGGCTAGCGACCAGCTTTTCGCTCTTATCTGAATCACCCGAAGCCGTCCGGATACGAAGGTAGAGCGCCTCCGGCATTCTCTGTCTTCACCGAGTGTGTCTCGGCGAAGGACCAGCTTCTCATCCTCCAAATCACCCGAAGCCTGTCCGGACAAGACGGTAGAGCGCCTCTGGCATTCTCTGCCCTCGCCGAGTGTGTCTCGGCCGACGCGCGACGACCCGCTTCCGCCGCGTTATCCACGCTTCGCGATCCATATCGCCGCCGCGCTTCGCGCCATTTTTCCGCGCTCCGGGCCGTGCCAGCCGAGAAACCGGCGCCGCCCGTGCCGATACCTGCCGTCACGCGATTCGGTTCGCGCGAGTATCAAAAGCAGCGGCTCCGCCCCGCACATACCGCGAGTTACCCCGCGCCGCCCGCGACCAAACCAACGTCGCCTCGCACGCATCGATCTATGTAAATGCCGCGAGCACAAATTGTAACTATCATAGAATAAATTTAACTATTTTCTTGTAACCGAGACGCGCCTTCATTTCGCTAACCTCGCTCTCCGTCTGCTTCTCCGTACCTCCTTCGAACCCCGGCCAACCGCGAGCTCGATACGCGCTTCGAAGACAGGTTGTTTTATACTTAGGTTTTTTATTTTATTTTTAATTTTAAATTCACAGTTTTCCGCTTACAAGAAAATATAAAAATTATCGAAAATTATACTGTTAAGTCATAAATCCCCAAACAGCACATGTAGATACTGAGAACGTTCGAAGGGTATCTCAGCAGTATATTGCGTATATTCTCAAAACATTCGAGATACGTACTACAATTTACTGCGGACATACTGAGAAGATTTCTATGTCCACCTTTTTTCAGTTTGTGGTATATACTGAGAATATTTTGCAGTAAATACCAAGAATATCACAAGTGCCAATATAGAACCGAGAATAGAATGTGCACAGTATATATACTTATTATGTTAGATGAAATTAATAAAATTATGTTCGTTGCCTTCTGCACAGTGCTAAGTGAGATATAAGGATTACTTAAGGTGACTTAAGCTGATCCGCAGCGAACAATATCAAGGTTTAAGCATTTTGCAGCATCTTGCAGGCTCGCTTCTTATATTAAATTTTTCATATTTTTTGAGATATTTGCTTACGTCGATTAAAATGACTCACTCTATATTCTGACAAATATACGAGAATTTACGAAAAATAATATACCTACTACTGTGAGATATTACAAGTACGTCTCGAGAATTTACGAAAAATAATATACTACTGTGAGATATTACAAGTACGTTCTGAGAATTTATAAGAAATAATATACTACTAGAGATGTTATAGAAATGTTCGAAGTATATTATCGGTACGCATATTTACAATACGAGTATAAAACATTCAAATAACATCATGTGCTGTATGGGTTGTAACGATACACCCCGCAAATGCATCGAACTTCCGGCCATCACCAGCCGGATGCCGCCCGACCGACCATCCGTTGGGCGAAGACAAGGCGCGGTGCGTCACATTTTTAATTGTTCATAAGATCGTGTGCGCGAGCAATTAGCGGCTTGCGGCACCGATATCCCCTCGGAGCTCCGACAAGCGCCGACGGGAGCCGATCTTCGCCGAGTGCAAGAGCGCGGCCGAAAGCCGTGATTCCGCACCGCTCCGCCCGGCGCGCGGCTAGCACGAAGATTGGCTACCTCGCTCTCCGATCCGCTGATCCGCCGAAAGAAGCAACCTTCCGACTCCTAGAGCGGCAAAGAAAGCAGAGTCCAGTGATCTAGACCTCGTTCCAAGTGGTCTTGGGCGCTGCTCGAACTCCGTCACACTACTAATTTTCGATTGCAACAGCGAAACAGCGAGGTCAAGGCAACTTGATCTCAGCTTTTTTGTGTTTTCTTTGTTCCTGTGCACCCCTGGTGTGCAGGAACTCAAACAAGCAATCTTGTGGCCGAAGCACTGAGAATTCCCAGAGCCGACCGGCCGGCCAGTGTCAACCTGACCGGTCGTTCTATTCCACCGGATTTTCCCGCCTGCGACTCGCGTTTTCGCCCGGGAAATCCGCGTATCGATTTCACCACGTGTAATCATTGTACATAGTCCGCGTCTCTAATTTTTTGTGTACCGTCTAGATCACTTATTTTCGCGTCCCGTTTCTCCGTATGCGTCCGTATAGATTGCTTGTAAATTTCGCGTTCTGTTTCTCCGTGTGCGTCCGTATAGATTGCTTGTAAATATCGCGTTTTATTCGTGTAATTCCAGAGTTAAACCCTGGTCGTAAGAAACGTAACTCACATTTGTAATTTCAGCGACCACGCCCGCGTAAATCTGTATAAAGTCCGCGCCACCATAATACGTTATAGCGAGCGCCACGGCGCCTGACCGCTGGATTAAATCTGCGTTATTAAACCATCGGCTGTATTACTTTAATTACTTAATAAACTTTGTATGAATTAAAATCTGGTTACTGCTTCTGGGCCTTCCAATCGAACCCCTGGTCCAACGAGCTAGTCCGCACTGTAAAAAAATTTTGTAAAATTACAGGTAATTTTGAGACCCACTATAATAGGTGTAAATTTCCGCACATTTTTAATTTGTGTAATTGTAATACAAAATTACTTTTTCTTTCCGTACTGTCATTTTGTAAAATTACAACCATTATATTGTATAATCACAACTATTAGTGCCTTGCGCCAACCAAATTAAATATCTTGGCCACATAGTCGATCGCGACGAAATTCGGACCGATCCCGAAAAAGTTAGCTCCGTCGCTAACTGGCCTGTCCCGCAAAACGTCCGTCAGGTCCGGCAATTTCTAGGAGTCGCGTCCTGGTATCGACGGTTCATAAAAGACTTTGCCACCCTAGCCACGCCGCTCATCGCACTGACCCGTAAGCAAACCTGGTGGACATGGGAGGAAGCCGAGCAAACTGCGTTTGACACACTAAAGACCGTACTAACTACCGCGCCAGTTCTCGCCTGTCCGGACTTTACGCGGCAGTTTCATCTGCAGACTGACGCCAGCACCACAGGCCTGGGGGCCGTGCTAACCCAATATTTTCCCGAGGGTGAGCGCGGGATCGCGTACGCAAGCCAAACGCTAAATAGCGCAGAGCGGAATTATAGCGCAACCGAATTGGAGTGTCTGGCAGTCATATGGGGAATCAGACGAATGCGCGGATACCTTGAAAGGTACCGATTTACGGTAATCACGGATCACCAATCGTTGAAATAACCAGAAATTAGAATCCCCGTCCGGTAGGTCAGGTCGATGGTCTTTTGAATTACAGCAATACGACTTTGAGGTCAAATATCGAAAGAGAACGCTTAACAAGGTGGCCGACGCGCTGTTCCGACAACCGGAGATCCTCGGCGTCGCCAAGCCGAAATGTGCCAGGTATACACGCATGTGGCACGCGACTGACACCACGCCCTACAAAGTACCCGATTTCCGAATCAACCACGGCCGGCTGTGGAAGCACGTATTACATCATACAACACAGATCCTTACAGTAACATTGCAGTAACGTTACAATATTGTATATTGCAATGCAATATTGCAGAGACATTACAAAGATATTGCAATTGCAGTATTTCGCCGAAATATCAGGATTATATTGCAAAAATATTATAAAAATAATTAAAAATATATAATATTGTAATTTACTAGTGTATACGTATGTGCATATGTTGCAGTCTTTTTACGAAATCAGCTTTTTTGCAATAAGGCTAGCCTATTTATAAAAACTTGAAATTAAAAATCAGCCTCATTGAGAAACGATCTATCTTTCGCAAAAAAGCCACCGTTTTGCAAAGAGGCTAGCCTTATTGCAAAAAGGCTGATTTCGCAAAGAAGCTGCGACACATACACATACACAGAGAAAAAGCTTTCCTTAGATTTGTTTCTTTAAATTTGATTTTTAATCGTTTCTTAACTTTGATTTAATTTATTAAATACAATCTTCACCTTGTATCCGAATAGCGCCTCTTTAGGCGTTCTCATTATTAACGTTACTATATTTTTAATTTTAAAATATATTTAGATAATAATATATTATAATTATATTATAATTAAAATATATTTAATATTATATTATATTGTTTATTGATATACGAATCTTACATTAATATCCATTGTATATCAATTGCTGTTGCGTTGCTGTTAATCTTTACCAGTTAATATATTATCACAAAATTTGTTAACACTATAAAGATGTGTTATACACAAATATAAGAGAGAAGAAAGTGTCAGAGTCAGAGGATCACTACTAGCTTGTTTGATCATCGAAGTTAAGCAACAAAGTGCGGGTTTACTACTTGGATGGGTGATCGG